GAGGCTGAAGTCCAACCGGAGACCTTTTGGTGCATGGGACGATGCTCAACCAACTGAGCTGCACTGGCCAAGACTAAATGAAATTTTTTAAATCTTGAAAAAGATCTGAGTGTTAAAGATCCATTTTCTAGAGCATAAGATGAAAAAACATTTTCAGTAAAGGGCAGACAATAAAAATTTTCATTTCTGCAATCATATGCTCTCTGCCACAACTACTCAACTCTGCCGTTATAATGCAAAGCAGCCACAGACAATATCCGTAACTGAGTTCCAATAAAACTTGATGTGCAAAACAGACAGGGGGCCAGGATTGGCCCATGGGCTGCATGTAGTTTGCTGAGTGCTGCTCAGAGGACTGGGAACATTATTTCATAGTACTGTCATGCCAGGTGAACAGCAAAACATGTCTCTACTTTTGAGGGACAACAGCCAGAAGCACAAAATATCGAACTGCTCAGTCTCCCCTTCAGAGCCACCATTCGCTCACACTTGCTGAGCACCTGCTGTGTGTCCTGCATGTTACTAAGTGACATTTACTTACTATTTGACTTAATCCACTCCTTCCCATGACCCTTTGAGGTCAGTATTATTCCTTTCTGAGAAGGAGATCAACTCTCAGTGAAATCTGCTCACTGGCCAAGGTTGCCCAGCTGACATGACAGGGCAGGATTCAAGTCCTCGTGCTCATTCTAGTTGTAGCAAGAGGCCATTCAGCAGAAGCTCAGAGCCAAACTGAGGCGTGACGCTGCTGGGACTCTTAGAAATAAAATCAGGAAAAGACTGAAGTTGGGTTTGTTTCTACTACCCAGTCCAAGTTTCATTGCTCTTTTATTTTCTAAACTCTGAAAACTCTAGCTTTTCTGGTCAAGTCTCAACAGTGGCCTCTCGGGCACAGAATTCCCACCTAAGGGTTTGTATTCTTCCTGTGGAAGGAAAGGAACCGGGTGCTCCTCCCACTTAGCTGAAAGAAAGGAGGCAACTGTCAGCATCCAGACGTCGCTATGGGCCAGCAGCTCTCACTAGTGCCCGTCCCTGCAGGACTGCCGGCAGAAGGGCCAGCGCTAGGCCTTGTGCAGGTGGGATAGTGCAAATTAGCATAAGGGAGAGGTCAAGTGGTCTTCCTGTCGGATTATCAAAAGCATATGTAACATCATAGCCTGTTTTAAAGGTTTTAAAAAGTGATGTTTAAGCAAATAAACCGAAGACTCTCTGGCAGGTGTGTTAAAACCAGAGAGCCGAGAGGTAACGCTCTGGTGATGCTACGCCTGTAGCAGGAAGGCTGCTACTTAGAAGCTGAGCTGAGTCTAGAACTGGGGGCAGCACAGCGCTATAAAGAGCACACACCTGGGGTTCAACTCCTGCATGAAATCCCGACTCCACCTCCCGCTTGGTAGCCCCAGTTCCACACAAGCCTACCCTCTACCCTTATCATCAGCAGAATGGGTGACAAAGGGGTCTGGGAGCCCCCCAAACAGGCTGGCCAGGGAAGGGGTGGGATTTGCAGGGACCACGGACACTACCTGGGTCCTGGCCCACTTTTTCCTGAAAACTCTCTCTGAGGCTCTTTGAAAGGAGTGGGCAGAGGATGCCAACCTGTGATCATTGGGAGGCCATAGGAGCCCTGACTGCAAACTGCCTGTGTCCTCCCTCAGAAGGTCACACTGGCTTTCGAAGGCGTTGAGAGATGTTGCCATTCATGGAGCATGAGTTTCACAGCTGAAGGAACAAATGAACGTTTCACTCCCTGTGCTTTATTTCTGGCCTCAGACTCGGCCTTGTCTCCGCTCTATTAGGAGTGCAGGAGCTGAATGACCAGGGGCTAATGCACATCTGGTCAGAAGTTAATCACCAGCTGGTACCCCAGGTTTCTTGTAGCTCCAGGCACCTCTGGGCCCTGCTTGGCTCTGTGGCTCCAAGACAGACCGGAGCGGCCTGATGATCCTGGCACAGCAGGGGACCTCGCCCCTTGCTGGAGAGGATCTGTGATCACACACATCCAGTTTCTTAAGCCTCAATGACTTCCCGCTAGCTGCCCTGGTGTGCTCTTAAGCACACCTGGTGGGCTGGCTTTATCCTGTAACCACCTCAGGAATTGCTCCTGAGGACAGCAGGCCAATTTGCTGGCCCTCAGAGACACCATGAAAACCAGCTGGAAACCAAAGCTCCTACTGCCTAACCCTAAGCTGCACAGGAAACAGCTTGAAGGCTCTACTCTCCCGGCCGCCCCCAAACTTCCAACAATTCTCCGCACAGTCCAGGGTGCTAGGCAAGGATGCCGATGCAGTGCCACCTGCAATAATCCCTGAAAGCTATCTCCCTATGACCCAAAGCCACACTGCCTGTGAGAAATGGGCAAGAGACTTTCAACCGGGATTGAAAGTGGCATGTTGTCAAAGAGCCTGGAAGTGCCAGGCGGCTTCCTCTGCTTTGTGCACGCAGATCCCTAGAGCCTAGGACAGCGAGGCTGCCCACCCCTCCTCCCTCGCCAGGCCCCGTTCAGGTGTGCTCAGTGCTGGTGAGAAGGAAGGATAAAGGAACGGAGGCTGTACTTGCTGAATAGTGTTCTCCCCAAACCCATGTCCATCTGGAACCTCCAAATGTCTCCTTATTTGGAATTGGGGTCTTTGCAAATCTAACTACTTAAATGAAGATAAGCTCATAGTGGACTATGGTGGGCCCTAAATCTAATGATGCGTTCTTAGAAGAAAGCTGTGTGAAGACACAGAAAAGAGGGTTATATGAAGATGAGGCAGAGATGGGAGCAGTGCAACTGTAACCTAGGACTGCCAGCGGCCACCTGAAGCCAGGCGAGTCCCTCAGAGCCGCCAGAAGGAATCAACCCTGATGACACCTTGATTTTGTACTTCTGCCCCTACACCTGTGAGAGAATAAATTTCTGTTGTTTGAAGCCACCTAACTTGTGCTACTTTGTTGTGGCAGCCCTAGGAAATTAATACAAAGGGAAGGAAGAAAATATTTTTTTTCAGAGCTTATTATATGCCGGATACCACATTTGACATATTCACATGCATTGCCTCATTTAATCATCAAAACAACTCTGAAGGATAAATATTATTCTTACTATTCTCATTTGACCAATGAAAAACTTTCACTGAGCAAGTAACTTGTCCTAGGTCATTAAACTAGAAAGAGCAGAGCTAAATTCTCTTTGTCCTGCTCCTCTTCCCCTCAGAACCTAGAAAGTGAGCAAGTTAGTGTAATAAGCCATCTTTTGCTAATACATCCTTGGGAGAAATCATTCTGATATTACATGTGCATTGTAAATAGGGCCATCCACACATGGTCCCCCCATTATGGCCCTGTCAGTGGCATTTTAGTGTCCAGGCAGATGAGCTGTTCTGTGGGTGAGCAGATGGGAAGAAGGGCCCTCCACCCCTACAAAGCACACCATGTCCATTTCTGAATAAACATGAGTGTGGTTGGCATAACAAGATTCTCACTGTTGTTCCTCCTGACACCCAGAGATAATCATGACTGGTCATTGCAAAGGTATTGCAACACCTGTCAAAGTCAACATCAAGGTCAAACAAGATGGTGGTGGTGCAGATGATGAAAATCAGGACATTCACAATTTTTGTCTGTAAGAAGCCTCAGAGCCCTAACCGGTTTGGCTCAGTGGATAGAGCGTCGGCCTGCGGATTGAAGGGTCCCAGGTTCGATTCCGGTCACGGGCATATACCTTGGTTGCGGGCACATCCCCAGTAGGGGGTGTGCAGGAGGCAGCTGATCGATGTTTCTCTCTCATCGATGTTTCGAGCTCTCTATCCCTCTCCCTTCCTCTCTGTAAAAAACCAATAAAATATATTTTTTAAAAAAAGAGAAGAAGCCTCAGGCTGTTCAAGTGGAAAGGATAATATATGAGCCCTGTAATGGGTTAAATACTGTCCCTCAAAAATTCATGACCACCCAGAACCTATGAATGTGACCTTATTTGGAAATTGGGTCTTTGTAGATGTAATCAAATTAAGATGAGGTCATGCTTGATTAGCATGGGCCCAGAATCCAATATAACTAGAGTCTTTAAAAGAAGAGGGAAGTTTGGACATACAAACATGAACACCCAGAGAGAAGACGGCCATGTGAAGATGGACACAGAGGTTGGAGTTGTGCTGCACAAGGAACACCTGGGAACACCAGGACCTGGCAGAGGAAAGGCCCTTTCCTAGAGCCATCAGAGGTAGCACAGCCCTGCCAGCAACCTGATTTTGGACTTCTGGTGCCCTGAACTATGAGATAATAAATTCCCATTGTTGTAAGCCATCCAGTTTGTGGTACAGTCAATCCTCATTATTTTCAGATTCTGTATTTGCAAATTTGCCTACTTAATAAAATGTATTTGTAACCCCAAAATCAATACTCTTAGATGTTTCATAGCCATTCTTGGACATGTACATGGCCGAGAAAAATTTGAGTTGCCCAACACATGTTTCTAGCTAAGGTCAAATAAGGAGATTCACTACGTTCTTATTTCAGTTCTCATACTATAAACAAGTGACCTTTTTTTACAATCTATTTAGTGCTACATTCCTGCATTTATATCCTTTTTGTTGGTGATTCTGCTGTTTCAAATGCCCCCAAGTATAGTGCTGAAGTGCTGTCTAATGTTCTTCAGTGTGAGCAGGCTGTGAAGTGTCTTACAAAGAAAATATGGAGAGTAGATAAACTTCATTCAGGCCTGAGTTACAGTACCTTTGGCTGTGAGTAAGTCCAATATTAATGAATAACAATATATATTAAATAAGGGGTTTTAAACAGAAACACACAAAAAACAGGGTTATATATTTATCAGTTGATGAAAATGTTGTGAGCAGAGGTTCCCAGGAACCTAGCTCTACATTTCCTCCAAGAGCAATGGTTGAATATTTGTGAATTCAGTATTCTGAGGACTTTATAGAACAGAACTACTTGAAATAATGAGAACTGATTGTACTTTCTTACAGTAACTCTAGGAAACCAAAACCGGTCCATTTCATACTCACCCAGGATCTTGCAGGCCTCTTGGATGAGCTTAATGGTGATGATGTCATCATACACTGTGTACGTCATGAAGGCATCTTGCACTTCAGCAGAATTTCTGAAAGATAAGTCACGGTGCAATAAAAACCCAGCAGCTGGAGCTTTGCCCCAGGAATATATCTACTGACTCAGCAAGATATAACATAGCAAGAGCGCTCCTGATCATAAGGAATGTAAGACAGTGGGGTGATTGGGTATAAATTCCTCCAAGAAGCCTTCTCCGGACCCCAATTTGGCCAAGAGTTCCCTTCTCAAATACCCACAGCAGGCTATGTGTTTAACAACTTAAGTCAAGATTCTTGGTCTTACCCCCTAGACAGAGCTCCTTGAGCAAGGGCACTGGGACTTATTTTTATCTTTGAACCTCCAGCAAGCAGTGCTGTGATTGGCACATGTAACAACCTAATACATGGTAGTGAATTTGGAACTCAGTGGTCTTGGAGCCTTGTTCTTTGAAGCAGGCAGAGCCACTGCTTGAGAATCTCACTGTTTTAACCATGTGGTTGTCTGGTTATTGGAGTTACTTTGGTCTTGCAACAGCTAACCAAACCTGGTGAAAAGAGGCTTAACCTGGTAGTCATAAACCTTGCACACTTGGCTTGGTCCTTGTATGAACCATTAAACTATAAATAGCAATTTAGTTAATCCAGGGGGAAGGAGGCTGCACAGGCAATGCTATTCTGAGAAAGGGAGGTTTGACTGACACTGAAGGATGGGTAAGCAAAGAAGAACATTCTGGACTGAAAGAATAGGCTCCAAGGCAGCAGAGAGAATGAAGACTAGAAAACGATACAGAACATTTGAGTTCATGTCAGAAGAACACATCATGGAATCCCAGAAATGGGAGAATTGTAGAATTTCCTAATTGTCCAGTTTCCACCCTATGCTATCTCTGAGTGCTGGTCTTCCAGTTGCCTCTTGAATGCTTCCAGGGACAGGAAGTTCACTCCTCTGCAAGGCAGCACATCTCATTTATAAACTGTTCTCTTTGATAGAAAGTTCTTTCTTAAGCTGAACTAAACCTACTTCTGGGCCCTAAAAATACCTTCTATTTGTTGAGCATCTCCTTTGGCCAAGAGATGACAGATTATTTCTGATTGTCCTTTTTACTGTTGAGGAAACGGATGCTCAGAAAGTTTAAGCATCGTACCAGGACCACCCAGTGGACAAGAGAAAGATCTGGACTCTGAGCTCCACAGCCCATATAATGCCTGCATTTGCCACTGCAATTTCACTGATTGGCCCCAGTCTTCCCTCCAGGGAAATGCAGAGTCACCTCCAGATGGTAAGCCCTCTAATATTTGAAGATCCTTATTCATTCTTAAGTCTTTATTTTTTTCTGGGCTAAACACTCCTTGATCTTTCTGGAATTCATCTTCCTCACTGTAAAATGAGGAAATAATACCTGTTCCACATTTCTGACAGGAATATTGATGAGGATGAAATAGGTTAACTGGTAGGAAAGAGCTCGGAGAAAGTGAGGAACACACACACATAGGCAAGGAGGAGCCGCAATAATGACGAGGACATCACTGAACCAGAAGCTCTCTGGGTTTGCCTCCACCTCAAGAATTCCTGTTTTGGTCCATGTCTGTACAGGGAGTCTCTAAGCATCGTCAGGTGCAGCTTTCAGAGAAGCTGACTGTAGCCCAGGGAAGATGGGGGGAGGGTGCAGTTAACCACCATCGCTCACTTAAGTGGGGTGCTCTCCCCCTGTTGGTATCACTCTCCACCCACATCCCCAGGGCCCGCGGGCCTGTGTGACAACACATGCCCTCTTTCTGGGCCTAGGAGCAAAATAGAAACATAATGGGCAAGACCCAAGTTTAAACTGGACATGTCGTGATGTGTTCTGAAGTACCCAGAAGGGGTGTTTCATCTCCAGGACCCTTGGAAACTAACAAACTCTGTGGCACTCCCCAGGCCTCTGATGGGAGCACACGTTCATCCTCGCCTGGGGTTGGTGGCCTCTTCTTCCCTGTAAGCTGAACTGATGATACTTTAATGTCAAATATTTCTTTGGTTTGTATATAGGTTGCACGTTTCTGGAATGCCAGACAAGCCCAGACTGTTATAGTTACACAGGATTGCCAGCCTTGTATATTGATCTTCATGATCTTGCATATGACACTTCCCACAGAGTCTGTGCACACTTGCATATACAGTCATTCAAACTGTTTCTTGGAACAAGATTAAAAAAATAAACCAATTGGTATCTTTCAAATGAGATAGCCATGCCTGTGATAAGAAGGAAAGGAAAGAAAAATGACCATCAGAAAACATTTTGAAGAGATTAGGGGTTGGAAAAAGCAACAAATGTGGGAAATAAACAGTTAGATGTTTCCAGCGCACACAAAGAGGAGTGCATTTCATGTAACATGAAAAATGTCAACCACATAGGTGGTCCTATATACACATAATTAGGAGATGTGGCGAATCAATATTTCACTGGGATCGTCAGCAATTAAATGTATGTTCTCCTTTATTTAGTTCCAACTAGTAAGACCCAAAATATCTGGGCAGGAAACTAATGCCAGATGCCTGTTCCAGAATAACTTGGGAAGCAAAATAAACATACAGATTCCTGGGCCCTGGGCTGGTGTCTGGAAATTGATATATCTTTAACCACTGTCTCAGATGACTCCCCAGGTCTGGAGAACACGTCTAAGATTTAATCTGACAAAGCAACAGATTAAAAATTATAGATCTTATTACATTGTTCAACATTACCAAGCTGATGCAATGGTTTCTAAGAGTCTAGAGTGAGCCATAAAATCCACAGGAAAATAAATAGCACTTTGTAGCAAGTTGCAGGCCAAGAAAATGGATCAATTCCAAGCTATGGGCAATTATTCCTTCAAGAGCTCCTTTCTGGTAGTTAGGCAATCCATGTAACAAACTTGTGTGTCACCAAAGCATAGCTGGTGAAGTCCTGACAGTTGAAGGCTGGGCCTGGTGTCATGACCATCTGGTATTTAGAAGCACTGATGGTCTTTCTAAGCAGTCCTCCCTCGGGCTCCTCCAGCTCCCCAAGACTTTCATCCAGCCATCTCCCCTATCCATTCTACCTAAAGTGCCTGAGATGGGCCATGTCATTTCCTACCTCCCAACCTTCCCACAACTCTCCCTCCATGGGAAGGGCCCTCACTACCTCTTATCTGGTTAACTTCTGTTTCTCCTTCCCAACTCAACCTAAGAATCGCCAACTTGAGTGGTTGTTCAGAGCCACAGTCAGATTCAGGTGTCTCCCTTCTGAGCTCCTGAGCCTTCCCACATTTATCTGTCTTAGTTCTGAATGCACATGTAACCTTTGATTTACCTGTCCACATGCTTCTTAGACAACAGAGTCCCAAGGGGCAGGAAAATGTCATTTGATTTTACATCTTTAATATCTAGTATTTTAACTGGGACACAATAGAAGCCTGATAAATATTTATAAAAGAATTTAGAAAGCTGTGAGAGACATAACATTTTAAAAATAGTTTTTATTGATTTCAAAGAGGAAAGAAGAGGGGATAAAGAGAAACATCAATGATGAGAGAAAGTCATTGATCAGCTGCCTTCTGCATGCCCGCTACTGGGGATTGAGCCCGCAAACCAGGCATGTGCCCTGACTAGGAATCAAATGATGACCTCCTGGTTCATAGGTTGATGCTCAACCAACTGAGCCACAGTGGCCAGTGCATGGGACCTAACTAGACAGAGGCTTACATGTTCTCTGTGTGTGGGTTAAAAGATCTGGGAGTGCATCCTGACTCTACCACAATTGAGATAAAGGACTTAGAACAAATCTCACTGTGCTTCCATTTCTTCATCTTTAAAATAATAGTTTGAGGTTAGGGCAGTGGTCAGCAAACTCATTAGTCAACAGAGCCAAATATCAACAGTACAACGATTGAAATTTCTTTTGAGAACCAAATTTTTTAAACTTAAACTATATAGGTAGGTACATTGTTATTAACTTAATTAGGGTACTCCTAAGCTGGCCTTTGCTAAAAACGTCCTCAATCTGATTGAGGTACGTTCGCTGAGGTCGACCCCTTCCAACTCTCCCATCCACACTCGTCTTGTATACTTGTTTAGTCTATCTCCTTTCGTTCATCCTCTCTATATGTCCAAATCATCTCAACATACCTAACCACTGCACAATGAGACTGCTGACTGACTGGCTCACTCAACTCGTGCATGAATTGCACGCGCCTCCATGGCCCGTTGGGAATGTTTATGTACAACCCCCGCTTAACCTCCCCTCCATTCTCCCCAGCCAACACAATGTGATTTGCTGAGAAAAACACTGGCACTTAAACCAACAGTTCTCAAGGTGTGTTCCATGGAACCTCTGGAAGTCCCAAAGATGCTTTTAGGTGTCCATGAGGTCAAAATATTTTCATAATAAATTAAGACATCTGTCTTTTTTACTGATTAATATTGCACTAGTCGTGCAAAAAAGCATTGGTGGGTAAAACGGTTGGGGCCTCAGCGTAAATCAAGGCAGTGGCGCTGCTCTGTACTAAGCAGGCTTGTCATCTTCACTGCCCCACCCTAGCAGTAAAAAATAAAATAAAAATGCTAGTTTCACTTCAGGTTGTCTTTAATGAAGCTGTAACAATTGTCAACTTTATTAACTCTGGCCCCGAGTACATCTTTTGAATAATCCATGTAACGAAACGAGAAGTCGGTATCCAGCACTTCCGCTGTGCAGGCCGTGCGGATGGCCACCTCAAGGAAAAGCACCTCCACGGGTGATTTTCTGAGCTGAATCAGCCCCTTTTTCATGGAACATCACTTTCTGTTCGAAAGAATCACTGACAGATGAACAAGGGTTATTCAGACTTTGATATTTGGTAGATAGTTTCCTTAAAAAAAAAAAAAAAAGAACAAGCTTAGCTTGTCATTCAAAGAAAATAACTGACAGAATTTGTTGCCAATGAGAAAAATCAAGCTTTTGAGTGAAAACTAGAATTCTGTAAAATTTGCATCAGCTACTGTGAGCTCATTAGCTTCTCAATTCTTAGAGGCTTTGATGAGATCGTGGTTTGATATTGTATAATGTACTAT